CACACACACACACACACACACACACACACACACACACACACAGTCCAACAGAAGAGATGGACACAAACAGGTTTGACCCCACTTTAGTAAAAGCATCAGCACCTCTACGACAGCAACAACAGCAGGTGTAGTTTGATCCTGAATGAGCGTTCAGCCGGTGGGATCCAGCAGAAACCAAATCCATGTCCCTTTCCTTCCTGCCTAGCCCCGAGGCCAGAGACARGAAGTGACCTCGTAAAGAAACAGGAAGTGATGGAGTCCTGGCCTTGGACGGGCCAATCATGGTTTTTCCCCCCCACACTTCTAATTCTCATCATTTCTACACAGCTCTGCGTTAAAACTTTTTAGGATTGTGAAACAAACTTTTACCCAGATTACCACACATATACACACACACACAAACATACACTCGCACAGATATTTGTTGGGATTAAAGACAGATTAAACTGYGTTAAAGCTTCTGATGGATGTGAAGGAAACAGGCAGTCCAGCCTTTTCCTCAAGATGGTTTCCTGCAGACGTGTAGCCGGACAAATCACAACCACATACACTAAAATAATGTCTGACATAAAACTGAAATCTTATATATTAAGAAAATTACAATATGAGAACTAAATCTTATAAGTCCTACAATTGCTTTCAGTTTCAAATCAATTCAAAGACTAAGTATTTTTTTTATTTTATATAGATTTCACATCTTTTCCCCCTTTTCTTTCTTGTCTTTCATGGTTTCAGTATAGACTGGTTTCTAAATAGGCATCCTCTGTGGTTTTTATCAGAGTGGAAGTAAAGTCCACACTTCATCAACTTCTCATAGAAGCAGCTGTAGTCAAACTTCCCTTTTATCTAAACAAGTTTCCCAATTTTCACGTAAAAACCAACCAGATGTTTGACAAACTAATTATTTTTAACGAATAAATAGTCGTTTTACCCTTAAATTGTCGTTTTCTTCCCAGAAAATAGCACAGAAAGTGGGAATTTTTAAGAGTAAATTCTACTATCCTGATACATTAATGTTAAAATGTTTCAAAAACAAGCTGTAAACTTTTTTAAAAAGTCGTTTTAAATCAATGTAAATGAATAAATTCGTACCTGGAGTAGTTGTTGGTGAAGTCTGCCGTCGGCTGACTACAGAGAAGAGTCGCGCGCTGCTGCGAAGCCAAAAGAGAAGAAAACGTAAAAGAAACCGGTGCGCGCACGTCCTCGCCTCACGCGCACACGGACAAGGCCGGCCCCGGAGGAAGGAGCGCGTGCGGCGGACCTGTGACACGCAGTGGAAACAGACACGTGAAGCAAAGGATGGCTGGATGTCGAGCTGAAACACTGAAGAGAATCAGGTTACATCTGAAAAATAATGAAGCTCGGTTTGTTTGGACGGGAGTTTAAATAAGAAACCTTCAGAGCGGCTCCTGCTGGTTCAGACTTCAGCTTCAGGGTCTTGATGATGCTTTCTGCAGGGTGGAATGCCACACTTTGACTGAGTGGTGTGAAAGACAGGAAGAAGAATGCACATGTGTGATATCCGCGTTTTCAAATGGGCTAAAAAGAAAGAAAGTTTACTCACTCATAACAATAAAATCTTTTATGACCTTATGATTTACAAGAAACTCACCTTAATCAAGTGAGGTTATGAAATATCCAACTGAAACCCGATAAATAACTCATATTTGTTGAACCAGTTGAAATTCACTGCTGATGAAACTGATCACATTTAAGGGTCTTTGCTGCCATCTAGCGGTCAGAAAATATAACTACTCTTAAAGTTGAACAATTGAAAAAAAAAACCTTTATGTACCATAAGAAAAAAAAACATTTAACAAAATAGTGGCACTTTAAAAACTATTTTAAAAATAGCACAAAAGAGATGAAATTTGTATTTGGTAGATTGTTTGTTGCAACAATGCGTTTATCCATTTAACAACAGAGTAGAACCCACACAGCGACAACAGTCTCCTCCTCATGCTGCACACCAGCTTGGATGGCTTCCCATTATTCTACCATCAGTGTGGTTCTGTGGGTCACTATGGAACAAGACTGTGAAGATATGGAATTGCCACTGTTTGCACCAAAGAGGCACCTGAAGCTCAGAACAAGAGTTAAAAGCAGAAAAAGCCATTTGGCAAAGATTTGGCAAGTTTTTGCTGGCCCAGCCCACAGACACTGCTGCCACATTTTCCTTACAATCATGACACCAATTAAGAAGWAATACTTTTTAACTTACAAATTTAGGATGTAACTTAATACCCTAGGACCTAAAATAGTAAATATCTGGATATAAGTCTGTTAAAAGGAGTCATACCATGCAAAATCCACTTTTTTAGTTGTTAATGTTGTTTTTGAGTCTCTAGAAGCGCAGAAAATTTGAATTGTCTTTTACCACGTTGCGTAGATATTATATTGTTWGGGTCATATTTTTCAACCTGTTCGGTTTTCTCCATTTTCTGTGACATTTTCTTAACTATTATGTCTAATTATTTGATTTAATTTCTAAATAAGGTTTGGATTGACCGTAAGGCTGAATGGGTGGGGAGTGAAGTGTCCTGTTCGGATTTAAAGAGACAGCCTCAAAACGAGTTGATCTGAGACAAACCTCAGAAAAGAGGTGAAAGAGGGGCTTGTGGAGTTACAATGAGGAGGAATTCAGACCAAAGTGTTTCAGTTCCACTTTATAAAAACCCCAACTGAATGATGAATGATTTAATGTGAGAAAGAAGGATTCTGCAGAAGTTTTATTAAAAAGATGCAATTAAAAGTCAGTGTCAACTAAAGAAAAAGGGAACGCACATTTTATTGATAACAAAAGTAACTTTATTGCTTATAAAAATACAAGATTTATTTTAATCCCAACTGCAGACAAAGGGAGACTGAGGCTCAGTGATTTCTTGAGGTGAATTTGTCAAACGAACAACAAAAGCACTTCACATACGATGATTCATTAATGCCAGACCGAACTGGCACACCGGACACGCAGCGTGTAGGTGTGACGGAAACATGTGCAACTTCAGCAGAACACTCGAGGCTCCAGTAGATTTAAATCCAGGTACGACATTTGTACAAAACAAAATATTTAAATACATCCACGTTTGCAAAGCAGCATCAAAATATTAACACTGAATTACACGATGTGCACCAGAAAACAGTCATTGTAGTGCGTGCTAATGAAACCCTGTCCATCACAGCTGGCTCAACACCTGCAAAGAGGCGTGTCATCTCATGTAGTACGTAATGGCTCGCAGGGCGTAGAGAAGGGCAGCCTGCAGCCGAGCTTCCATCACGATGAGGTTAGCGTGGACCTGGACAAACAAAAAGACACGTCACTCCCTTCAGGTAACTGGGGGAAACGTTTCCTCTGATGACATTTATAAAAAAGGACATTTTGAAATGCCAGTGACTCATATTTCGTAGGGAAGGAACCACAGTTGAAATGTCAAGTGATTTGTGACTACGTCTGGACGCTCGCACCTTTTCGGAGTGTCTGAAGTGCCTCCAGAAGGCGTGGTAGATGCGCGCGGTGGTCTGCTCGGGATGACAGGCCATGGTTTTCACGAACACCTTCAGGGAGCGCTCCAGCAGCACGTTCACGCCGCCGTAGTCGTAGTCGTCGTAGCTGCGGGGCGGGGAAAGGAGACGTCAAGACGGAGGAGAGAGTTTTGATTCGGTCGACCAGGTGAGCGCTGACTCACCGGATCCCGTAGAGGCAGTGGATGTAGTTCCACAGAGCTTTCCTCAGGGTGTACGTATCGACACCTTCATGCATGGCCATCCTGTGGTACGTCAAGCTGCTCACCACCTGAACAGAGAGAATTCATTCAAACATCCCAACATCACCGCCTGCTTACAACACAACCACTCAGACGTAAACCTTTGCTTTTTAATGCTTACATGTTAGTATTAATTATTGTAGAAGTATTTGAGTTTATAAGAAATAAACCCTTCAAACAGAAACCCAATGACATTTTGCTGCTACAGCTGTGATGCCTGCTGAACAGGAAATGACTCAAACCTGACCCTGTGAAGCAAAAACCGGAGCTTACACATGTTTCAGGTCCTGTATCATTKTTACTTTGAAACTACAACCCATGTTTTAAGTTTTTTAAGTCTTTTGATTAAATCCAATTATACAAAGCAGTGTCTTTGTGAAAGTAGGATATTTAATTGAAATGATTTTTAAGCGATCAAATGATTATAATAAATAAGGGGAACAGAAAAGGTGGAACCAGGTGCTCTGCAACAGCTGTTCCCAACTTTTTTTATGCATCACAGCTAGGGATGTCCGATAATATCGGCGTACTGATAATATCAGTCTGATATTAKCATAAAAATGTAAAATCTCCACACATCTGTATCAGTTTTCCTTCCGATAACAAAAGCCTGATAAATTAACACCTGAATTTGACCAAATGTGTTTAATAAATGCTTRTGGTCCAGAGACGTTCAACGGCGCATGATTGATGACATCATCAAACTGGATTATCTCAGGGAGAGCATGATTCAAACTATTGACRATAAATATGGCACTTTTTCCATAACTTCAGTGAAAAGGTTTTTATTTTGTACAGACAATGTTTACCTATGGAACTAGTGAGGTATCATAAAGCAGGCAGAATGTCCCTGACAGGAGATATGTGATGTCAGCTTAATATCTGATTGTAATATCAGAAATTAAGTGTTTAACAATAACGGCAAAAAGTCAGTATCGAACATCTCTAACCACAGCTCATACATAATGTTTCCTTTTCCAAATAAAAGTTTGTAACTATTCACTTTTATTATTTTGCTGAGATTACATTGTGGCTCTTTGTGTCTCTGACACGTGGAGGTATACCTGGAATTTCTCGTCCAGGTGCTGGCCCATATCAGGAAGCAGTCTGTTGACCAGAGAAAAGCCGTGGTCCTCCCACGAGTAGTCCTGTGGATGAGCCAACGTTTAGCAGCACGTCAAACTAAATCACAACAAATAAAGAATTAAACCGTGCTCTGAACAACCTGTGCTCTCAGGACGGGTGGCGAGTGCTCTCCTCGGGGGGCGAAGTCCTCGTATCTGAACTCGGGCTCCTCCACCAGACACAGCAGCAGGTCAGGTGGAGCTCCTCGCACCACCGCTGCACAAACACAGACGCAGAGCTGAGTCAGCAGATGTCAGAGTGACCGGCCGAGCCGAGCGACGCRGCGGAGATGACCCACCTGTTGGTATGCTCTCGCTCCTCTCCCGTTCAAACCGAGTAACCATCTCCTCCTGCGTGCACTCCTCCTCCTGCTGCTGCTGCTGCAGCTCCACCATCCTCTTCATCAGCACCTCCACCTCCACCGCTCCGTCCACCAGCTGGAGAAGACAAACAGCTTAAACAAAGCTGCCACTTGTTGAAGCGGTGAATCTGCTGACTTAATAAATCCACCTCACCTCGTGCCTGCTGTCCTCGGGGGCCGGGCTGTGAGGGCTGCGGGGGAGGTGATTAGGCGACGGAGGCTGGAAGGTGTAACCGCCGATGTGGTCGGGTTCGGGGTTTAAGCCACACCCCCACACGAAGGAGCAGAGGGAGTGAGTGTGCGCCATCAGAATCACAGCGTGGATCAGCTCTGCCAGGGACCAGCGTGGCTCTGCTCCGGGACTCACCAGCTCCTGTGAGACAGAGGAAGTACTCAGCTTTACCAGATCTGCACATCCTTAAAACAGGGTTCCTACAGTTTAAAGCTAGTTCAATTTAAGACTTTTTAATGCCAAGTGAAATTAAATTTAAGACCAAACAAATGGCAGAAACTCATGAATCAAAGTCTTTTTGGTTGAAGTATTCAAATATTGCTAATAGACCAATTGTTTTTATCCATATCTAGACAGCATTAACATATTACAAAACAAATTTCACATTGCTCAAATAAACAGTTGTTGAGATATTTGCATGTGAAATAACAGGAATTGATGTCAAAGAGGAGCGTATGCATGTGAATATTTAAAAATATAATTTTTAACATTATTTTAATATTTCAGATGAATTACAATCATCCTATGTACAATGTGTTAACATTTTGAAGACTTCTGAAAGGTTGATTTAAGACATTTTAATGCTAATTAAGGTCTTATTTTGAATTGATGAATTCAATGCCTATTAAGGCTTTTTAAGGATCTAGAGGCACCCTGTAAAAACATGTTCTGATATTTTTCTCCAGGCTGTAACAGACTGACCAGGTTGTGAAGTCAAATGATTGTATGTTTACTCTAAAGATGTCACAACAAAATTAGTCCTAATAGTAAAAAAAAAAAAGCCAAAGAAAGAAACAAGCCCAAAAAGATAAAGATAAAAAAATTGGATTACATCATAGAGTTTAATTACACTAGAGTGAGCCCTGCCTACCCTGTCCACTGTTAACATCTGTGACAACATGGAGCAGTAAAACAGGGTGTCAGCAAATGGATCTGTCACAAATTATCTAATATTTTTACAGTCAAATAATATAACTAACTGTTAATTATTTTAATTTCATTCAACAATCATGTGAAACAATTAGATATATACAAGAAAAATATATAATTTATAAGTAGCAATGATCTAATCCAGACCTGAAGTCATCAATAACTTAGTTTTTAACTAGTTGAATAATTATGACTTCAACTAGTAATTAAAAATTTATTATCTCTTACCTAACATTAATAATAATAAAACATTGTTCAATGCATATACCTGGTCATACATCTTCTCAGCACATAAAGTTTGCCTAATAAAAACCTAAAAATAGTTAAATATGTAATATTTTACACTGTGTAAATATTACATACATCAGAGGTAAAACCATCTTGTTATATTTAATGATTTGTGTTAAACTGTAGCATGATTCAGCAGAGTGCTGCACTCTGTATAACAATATGTGCTATAGAAGCTAATATCTGCTAACCAGTTCAATAATTAACAGTGAAAACATCGACTTTGAGCTTATTTTATATTCATATTTTCATTAGTATTTTACATAATCAGCTCTTATTGTTCACGATTTGCCAACATGTACAATAATGATAAATCCAGACTTCTGCCTGTTCTGGTTAGACTCACTCCTGTTCTACAGACCCTCCATGTGTTTCATTAATAAAAAATAAAATAAAAATGCCGAAAATTTGAGATATTTTCTCATCTGCTGTACAAAAATCAACAGGAAGATTAGGAGAATTTGCAGAAAACTCAATCCACAACGGACCAGACTAAAACTTAATATCAAATAAATGTGTTTTAGGCAGAACAGCGTTAAAAACAGATGGGTTTGTTTAGTGCAAATCCATGCCTTGGGCTCAGGAGCTGATTTTCAGAATCATTATATAAACAAACTCTCCTCAGTCAGATAATTAAAGTTTAAACTCTACAGTGAGAGAAAAACACGGTCTTTCTAAGCATGTTAGCTCAGACTGAAAGGTTTAAAATCCCACAATCCTTTGCTTCACATATTATAGGAGCCATATGATGTGAACAATCAGAACCAAATATCTGAAACAGACTGACTGCAGGTTATTGAGAAGCTACCAGATAAGATGTGGGGAATGAGTCAGTGAGGCTGTTAGCTCGGATACAAGTAAATAAAATCACATCATTGCACTATTTTCTGATGAGAGTACGAGCAGAAGAGAAAGCTGAAGTGAGACAGGCGGTGAGTGGGCGGCGTGTCTGACCTGGATGTGCTGCTGCGTAATGAGCCAGGGTCTGTGTGCCAGCAGCTTGTTGAGCGTCTGCAGGCTGCGCAGTTTGRTGGGAGTGTGCTCGAAGCTGCTCAGCCAGCTCTCGTCGCCTCCAGCTTCCAGGAAGCCCGCGCCGTGCTGCTGCACCAGGTACGCACAGTGGTGGCGTGCTGCAGCCTGAACGGCATCAGGAAGTGCCAGGGCGGCGGAGGCATTGGTATTAATAAAATGCCAAGTGTTCAGAGGTTAAAGCAACAACACATAAAGTATCTGAAGGAGGGGGAGGAGGCAGTAATGGGATGATTACAAAGACCAGAAAGGTTATTCAATACTTCTATAAAAAGCCACTTGGCAAACCTGTTCATGGCTCGCTGTAATAAATTAATTGGGTGTCTCTTAAAGGAAATGTCACAGAAACACATGTTGAGTTTTATATCCTTGACATTTCTATCTTCAAAATATTGAACACTATGACGAATTTGTTGTAAATTTTTTCAGTATTAGGGTCATGCAACAGTACATAATCCCTGTCAGTGAAGTGTCAAAGTAAACAAAATCCAAAACATGAGGCTGCTCATGGTGTAACGCCACAAACTGCTCCAATAAAGAACATGTAAGAACATGAAGCTATCAGCTTTAATGTGAAGAACTCACCAGCCTGTCCAAAACATTTTATGATCAGTTAAAATTCACCAGAAACATCTGAGATTTCTTTAGTGGAAGTGGTTTTAATAGAAGTAAGATCCAATATGAAAGGTCCGTGTACTGTTTGGTCAACAGTTATTGAAAAACAATGAAAGAGAGGGGCTGTGTTTGATGACCCCCCCACCAGGTATGCTAGCAATACTCACGAGGAACTAAAGTGTTGTTTATCAAACACAAGTGTTTTAAATTTGAATTAAAAAGGTGAAAAAACAACATGAAGTGTAAAATATACGGAGCTTAAAGTAATCATCTTCTGCCTCCAATGTGCATAAAATGGTAAAAAAAAAATGCAAATTAAATTTGCATGTGCAAATAAAAATTAAGTGTTTTTTTCTAAATCTATATATTGTGAGCTAAAATGTTCTAAAATAAAAGCGTTGCATTTTCATTGTTTGTTTTGGTTTTACTCCAACAGAAAGGCATCAATAAGAGTATCATTAAAATRCCAACAATAGGTAAACTACTTGTGTGAGTATAACAGTAACTAATAACATTTATTTTTAAGCTCCCTGCTAAACAAACACTTCGAAACGTCTAGTCCACGAGGATTTTCTTACCATTATAGAAATGTAGTGTCTCCAGTGATGGGGCAAAGGGCCGTCCAGCTCCAACAAAGCATGCTGGGTCTTCAGGAAACAGCTGAGATAGGCCGGGTGGAGGGCCATGACCATGGTGAGGTGGTCCACCCGACCAAGAGACAGAAAAGACTCGATGAGGACGTCCTGATTGGGCCCATCTTTCAGGATCTATGTTATAAAAACTAACGTTAAGCATTTAATCCTGACAAGCAGACTTCTATTAAGTTCTTCGTTTTCTTATGCTTATATTAGCTCTAATTTATTTAAATATAAAACCTGATTAAGTTGTTAACAGACTTAATGACGATAAAATATCTGTAACAGATAATCTAATTTMCTCCAGTTCAGATGGGGTTAAATGTTTTTACATCTGCAGGCATTTTAATACGTATCAGATGACTGCTTAGTTCTTAGTTGTATTAATAATTCACCTGATTCTGCTAAGGTTTATAGACACTCTGACCTGATCAAACAACACAAGAGCTCTGGTGAAGAAAATCAACCCTCTTACTCTGACATAATTTATATATGTGTATAATCTATTTAGGCTACTTGAGAATCAATKCAACAAAACTTTGGTTTTGGGCTGTTTTCTTTCATCTGCCCATTTAAATTCACTCAGGTGTGAACTGTTGTTTCTATTTTCACGTTGAGCAGGTCTGTAAGTTTGTACCTCTTTAGCAGGAACAAAGGCACTCGGACCAGAAGCCAAGGCTCGAGGTACTTCCACTCCTTCGTCCTGAAAATGAACAGAAAAAAAAACAAGTAATTAAAAGGCAAATCTTTTACTAATTTTCTGGGTTTTGCATAAAATACAATGTGTGAATCTAAAGTCAAGACTAATTCCTCAGAAGCTCAGACAAACTTGAACCATATCCTTAGAGTTTAGCCGAGAAATAAACAAATCAGCACAGATTTTAAATCCTCTGACTGGAGCAGACTGATTTTGACTGTAGCAGCTGGTCTGTAACCAGAGACAAGTTTAGGCCTGTCCATATAAATGAGGGTCCAACTCACCGACATGTCCACCAGGAGAGGACTACTATATTCCACACTTCCTGCTGCTTCCCACTTAGAGATACAGTTGAGGAGAAAATGAGTGCAGCTGCCTTCTTTGTTGTTTCTTGAAGCTAACAGAGAGCTGGTGGAGGATTCAGGAGGTGTGTCTGCTGTGTTAAGCCCACTGAGGGGAGGTGTGTCCCTGGTCTGCCTGTTCACTGCTGCAGCGTCTTGCATCACCACGGCACTGAAGTTCGCTTCTGATTGCTGAATGTGCGGCGCTGATTCAAACTTCAAAACTTGGACTCAATACAAACTGAAACTGGGTTTCTAAAGAGACTAAATACTGTAGTTTCTGATCTGTACCATTCCCATTGTAGTCCTGATGACAAACTGTATCTTAAAGCTATTTTAGATGTCAAAATATGCATTTTCTCTGTGATTTTGATTTAAATATTTACGCTTCTGAAACTATTTCTACATCATTAAATGATTGTTTGGGGTTATTGCAACAAACTCAGTTTTTTTTTTTCATCACCTTTGTTTACAACAAAACTACAACCATTTTACAAAAATTCTGCTGATGGAGTTCAAAATATCTCTGCACAGCTGATGTCATCCACTTCAGTGACTCTACTTCTGTKAATTCTCGTCCTTACAGCTTCTGTTCGGTTTCTTTTTAGAAGACAGACACACGTTAACTTTTCAATATCGACCTGGCATCTCTTTTATTTTATGCAGGGATAATTTTACAGATCATCTTTTGTGAGAATGTCGTGTGCTGAGAGAGTCCAAAGTGGTCAACTGGTTGGGAATGATGCAATATTGTTCAAGAACATTGAAAAATCACATTTTTAAAACGTTTATTATAGCTTAAAGGTTTGACTTTTAGTATAAGCTCATTAAGTAGGGATGTTGACATGTCGTCAGCAGCTGCTGCCATTTTCTTCCCAAACTGCTGTGAGCAGATTGTGTG